GTAATGGAGTCCGGAGGAGTTGGGGATAGTGTCTCTAAGCAAGTTACAATGAGTAATGATATTGAGGATAGTAAAGAAGATTCATTGGCAGAATTTGTGGAGATGATTGGGTGTAAGATAAAGGATCCCAATGAGCTAAAATGTTTTTTAAAAGATAACGGAAATGGTGAAAAAGCTAAGAAGAGAAAAATGAGTGAGGATGAAAGGCTGAAGAAGGATATAGAAGGGGACAAGGAGTTAAGTGAGAGGAAGGACAAAAGAAGGGGAAGTAGATAGGTGAAGGTTCTCATAGGGAATAACAGATAAAGAGGAATGAGGATAATAAGTTAGAATGTTCATGGATTAGGGAGTGCCAGGAAAAAGGCTACCATTAAAGAAGTCCTAAGAAAGGAGAACCCCGATATTGTTATCATTCAGGAATTGAAGTTGGGAGAGTTTGATAGTAGATGGGAAAGAAGTATCTGGAGGAATATTGGCATACATTGGGCTATGAGTCCATCTTACTTTCTTAGGGTTCTTTAGGGGGAATTGTAACCCTTTGGAGGGAGGATACATTGGAAAGGATTGAAGAACTGATGGGTAAGTACACATTATTTGTTAGATTTCGTCAAATTATGGATGGCTTTGAGTGGGTGATGAAAAATATATATGGTCCTAATGGGTATAGGGAGAGAAATGAGTTGTGGGAAGAATTAGGCGATATAAGAGGACTATGGGATGGACCTTGGTGTATAGGAGGGGATTTTAATGTTATGTGATTTTTGGAAGAAACCAATAAGATAACATAGAGGCTCACTACTAGTATGAGGAGGTTCACTGAGGTTATAAATGATTTGGAATTGAAGGAGATCCCGATGTCACACAGTAAATTCACTTGGTCAAATTTGCAATCAAACCCAACTTGTTCCAAGTTGTATAGATTTTTGTTTTCAGTGGATTGGGAAGAGCATTGGGGGGAGTTAGTATCAAGGGCCTTGCCTAGAGTTACTTTAGATCACTAACCAATTTTGATTTGCAAAGAAGAAATTTGAGGGAGAGGACTTGCCCCGTTTAGGTTTGAGAACATGTGGTTGAAACACCAGGGTTTATAGAGAAGGTTAGGGATTGGTGGACAGAGTATAATCCAGATGTCATTTATGAGGACATGAAATTCCATAGGAAGGTGAAGGAGCTAAAGGCTAACATAAAAAATTGGAACACCCACCAATTTGGCATACTAGAAGAAAGGAAGCAAGAGTTGGTGTTTCAAATAGAGGCTTTGGATTCCAAGGATGGGAAAGGAAACTTCGAGGAAAATGATAGAGTTGAAAGATATGTACTAAGAAAGCAACTGGAGGACATCCTATTTAAAGAAAAAATCAGTAGGAGGTAGAAGTCAAGATGTTTGTGGTTAAAGGAAGGAGATAGAAATACGAGATTTTTCCATGGAAAATTCTAGGAGAAGCAAGAATTGTATTTCCAAACTTGAGGTTAATGAAGAAAATCTTACTTAAGATAGGGAAATAGCTAGGGTCTTTGTGGATCATTTCAAATCTATTTTCAGACGGCCCTTGGGCGGGAGAATAAGTCTAGAAGGATTGGAATGACCAAGGATTTTGGAAGACTCCAAGATGTGGCTGGGACAACATTTTGATTTGGAAGAAATTAAGGAAGCAATTTTCTCTATGGATAGGGCTAAGGCATCGGGGCCTGATGGGTTTACTATGGCTTTCTACCAGGATTGTTGGGAGATTTTAAAGATGAATATTTTGTAGGTATTTAATGAATTTTTTTGGGAGAGGAGTGATTAATCCAGGGTTCAACTCTACTTTTATCGCTCATATTCTGAAGAAGTCTAATGCAGTTCAGCCTAGTGAGTTTAGACCCATCAGTTTGGTGAATAACCTATATAAGATAATAACTAAGGTTCTGTCCAGAAGAGTAAGAGCAGTGCTTCCATCCATCATTTCGCTAAATCAAGGGGCCTTTGTAGGTAATAGGTAAATCACTGACCAGATTCTTATTGCCATTGAGAGCTTGGAGGATTTTAGAAGGAATGCCAAGATAGGATTAGTGTGCAAGCTTGACTTGGAGAAAGCTTACGATTTGGTGGATTGGTACTTCCTATTGGAAGTGTTGAGGAGTTTTGGGTTTGGAGAAAAGTTGTGTAAATGGATTAAGGGGTGCCTTGAGTCTTGTCACTATTCAGTATTGGTGAATGGAACTATAATGGATCACTTTCCTAAGATCAGAGGAATTAGACAAGGGGATCCTCTCTCTCCATTCCTGTTTACCCTCATTGTGAAGGTGCTTGGGATGCTAATTGACAGAGCTGATGCAAAAAGATTGGTGAGAGGATGGAGAGTTGGCAGGGATAGGGTCCCGGTTACTCACTCGTAGTTTGTTGATGACACCATTTTGTTATGCGAAGGAAATTTTCTTAATAGGGTAAGGAATTTGAAGCTGGTGGTGCACTTGTTTGAGAGGGTATCAAATCTAAAAATCAATTTCAACAGAAGTTGTGTGGTGGGGGTGAATATGAGTGAGGAGGAGTTGCAGGTGTGTGCCTCTTTATTGGGTTGTGAAGTTTCCTAGTGGCCTTTGAAGTACCTAGGACTTCCTTTGGATGATAACACTAGGAACATTGACTTTTGGAACCCGGTGGTAGATAGATTCACTAAAAGGCTAGCCACCTGGATGAAGAACTATTTATCATTGGGAAGGCGAATAACTTTTGATTAGATCTACCCCGGCAAACTTACTAGTGTACTTTCTATCAGTTTTTAAAATTTCAGTGGGTGTGGGCAAGAGGCTAGAAAAGTTAATGAGAGATTTTTTTTGTGGGAGCATGGGGAGGAGAAGAAGGATAATAGAGTCAACTAGGAAATGGTGTGTAGGAGTAGAGCTGATGGAGGTTTCGGTATTGGTAACATTCAGTTGAGGAATCAGGCTCTCTTAGGGAAGTGGCTGTGGAGGCTACCTCAGGACAAGGATAAATTGTGGGCTAAAGTGATTATTAGCATTCATGGGCTGTCGGCAGATGGTTGGGATGCTGGAGTGTTGGCTGAGGCTACTTGTACTTCTCCCTGGAAAGCTATACATGTGGTCCTTCCCCTCTTTCCACCTTTTGTCGGATACAATTTTTGTTCAGGGGACCTTGTTAAATTCTAGGAACATGTTTGGGTGGGTGAGTCAGCTCTGAAAGTCCAATTTCCTACTTTGTTTGCTATCTCTGATTTTAAGAATGAGCCAATTTCTTCCTTTTTGATTCCTTCTGACTCAAACTCAGGGTTTGATTGGGACTTGGGCTTTAGGAGAGGTCTTAGAGATTAGAATTGAACCAAGCTTTGGATTTGATCACAATTGTCCAAGGAATCTCTTTGGACCCATCTAGTAGAGATAGTAGATTTTGGACCTTAACCCCTTCTGGTTCTTTTTCCTGTGCTTCCTTTTTTAGAGCTTTGACTCTACCTTCTCCTATTTTAGGCTCCTCCTTTCCTGCTAAAGAAGTGTGGGGAAAGCCAATTCCACCAAGAATAGGGGCTTTCTGTTGGGAAGCTATTCTGGGTAAGATTAATACCAGTGATTTACTTCAAAGATAAAGACCTTCATTGTGCTTGTCCCCTAACTGGTGCATCTTGTGTAAAGCTAATAGTGAGAACTGTTATTCCTTGCCCGTTGGATTCCCCCCCCCCCCCCGGACATACAAAACTTTTTTGCTGCTTTGACTATTAGTAGCTTGAAGAAGAGGGGAAAAGTTCTATGGAGGTGCACTAGAGCTGTTATTTTGTGGACAGTCTGGGAAGAAAGGAACCAAAGAGTGTTTCAGGATAAGGAAAGGAGTTTAAGTGCTGTTTTGGAGGCGGTTACAGCTAGAGTTTTGCCATGGGTGAAGATACTGAAACTGTTTGAGGACATTCTAGCAGGGCTTCTGTTGAATAGTTGGAAGGTAGTGGCAGAATCAGCTCCATGGAAAGATGCTTGTAGTCCAATGTGGTCTTTTGGCTGCTTTGGAAGGTCTAAAAAGAGCAAAAGAATTAAATATTAACAGTCTAATTATTGAAGGTGACTCCAAAGTAGTTATTGGTTGGCTAGGAAAAGAAGAGATTGGGCTATGGAATTATGCAAATGAAAAACAGAAGTTCAAATGGCTATCTAGGGATACGGTAGTAAGATTTCGATAGGTCAAACGGAGTGCAAATTCCTTTGCAGATGCATTAGCCAAACAAGGGGTGGGAAGTGTCCATTCATTCTGAGCTTGTTTGTAATTGCTTTTTCTATTATTATGCTTATCCTTGGGAAGGGTTAAGAGAGTTTATCCCTTCCCTAAGAGGCTGTAATTGCTGTGTGTTGTTTCTTTAATAAAATTTCTGTTACTGATTAAAAAAAATACGCAGTCAAAACCCGGCTTGGCCTATGATCACCCCTTCCCCAAAATCATGGACATTGAAGATCTTATCCACTTCAAATATAAAATTTTCTTCTACATAGCTAAACTAATTTCTTAATTTTAGCCACCCAAGTTTGTTGTATTGATTCAGAGTATGAGGTTTAAGTTTTGTATCCATGTTCATCTTGCTTATTTTCTTAAGAATATAATTTAATATTTATTTTTGGCTTGTTAGTTGCCCGTACAGTGGTAAAATGTTCACAGCTAATTAGCATGAGAACAGATTTGAGTCTGAGAGTGGCCACTTTGTACAAAAAAGAAAGCCAATCCTCCCAAGGTCTTAAATAGCCTAAATAATCATCAAATAATATATTTATGTTTGGGTTGTTACGTTAGGGAAAGCACATTAGGCAACTAACATGGTCCATGTCCATTATTTTGAATGTTCCATATGGTTGAAAATTTTAACTGCACAAAACTAAAATTATTCACAAGTTTATGATAACTCGACTTTAATACAATTGATTGCTTCCATAATTCTATTGTAGGAAAGATAAAATGATAATAGAACCATAAGATTTTTAATTTGGCATACTAAAAATCATTGTTTTGGTAATTTTGTTTCATACAGGGCTTTTGGTTCAAATAATTTTTCTGGGCCACTCCCTCCAGAAATTGGGAATTTAGTCAAACTCGAAGAGATGTAAGTCGTAATTGCTTGTATAAGCATTACCTTCTGTAACAATAAAAAGTTCATATATAGTTAAAGTAGTGTCAAAAAGCATTATGCATATTATTTATTGCTAATGATGAAACTAAGGTCCTTGTAGTCAAGAATTTGGGACATAGATGGCTTAAAGGTGGTGTGAAACAAGTAAATCTTTCAACCCATTGAGAGATAAAAATTGATAGTCATGTGTTTCCATCTTATAATTCCAGGGTTCAATACATTATGCAAATAAAAGAAATAGGAAGTAAATTAGACATCAAGGGAAGAAATGTTTTAGCTAAAGTTTGATTACATTCTTTTTGAATTTGACAGATACATGGATAGTTCTGGGGTGAGTGGTGAAATTCCTTCAACATTTGGTAACCTAGTAAACATACGGATTATGTAAGAGATTGTGACTATGACCATGCTCAACTTTTCATGTTTTGTTCTTTAGTGTTTTAAATTTATCTATCCCTTTTCCACAAAATATTTGGATGTCAGGTGGGCATCAGATAATAACTTTACGGGCATGTTACCTGAATTTATTGGGAACTGGACAAAGCTTAAAACTTTGTAAGATTAGATTTTGCTTGTTTTTCCTTTACATAATCTTTCTCTATATGATAAGAAACTTATTAATTTTATATGTTACTTATAACTTGATTCTTACCTTTTAGTTTTCCTTAGTTTTATATTCAGCAAGTTTTTTCTTAATAAAGCTGAATGTGTTAATGTAGGAGACTCCAAGGCAATTCTTTTGTAGGTCCAATACCAAAAAGTTATTCAAAATTGACCTCATTATTAGATTTGTAAGTACTCTTTTTGTTAATTAAATTTGATTTAGACTCATCTTTATACTGATAACCACTGTATAATATCATATATAGGCGAATAAGTGAATTGTCTAATGCAAGTTCAACCTTGGATTTCATTAAGGATATGAAGGTCTTAAGTACATTGTAAGAAACCTTTCGAACCTGTGCAATGATACATATATTTTAATTTTTTATATTCATTTTCTCCAGCTTAAGATGATTCCTTGCTTTATATAGGATCTTGAGAAATAATATGATTTTGGGTACTATTCCATCTAATATTGGCGAGTATCAAAATTTGCAAATATTGTAAGTTGCCACTTTCTTCAATAGTTTGTATTGAAGAAACTGATTATTCTTGCAAATGGGTGAAAGTATAGTACATTGATGAATCTTGTTTTAACATTGACTTAATGATTGTATCTTTTTTATAGGGATTTGAGCTTCAACAATTTAACTGGCCAGATTCCAAGCTCTTTATTCAATTTGAGTTCTCTCTCTTTCTTGTAAGTAGCATGGATACTCTTCTCCATTCTTTTGTGAAGATCATGAAATGTATCATTTATGGTATTTTATTATTTATTGTTAGGTTTCTCGGAAGCAACAATCTTTCTGGTTCACTTCCTCCTCAAAAAAGTACAAAACTCCTCAATATGTATGTCAAGATGATGTATTTATATTAGATTCAAAATATTTAATTTTGATTAATATTTTTCTAAACAAATGATTTGTTGATTTGGACTACCAAACTCGTTTATGAGATTTTTTTGGCAAATCTCCACGATAGAAATCATTGAATGGTGGGTCAAAGTTTTGTGCATGTGTAATAATTGTTTATATAAAGGCTATAATTTAAATGCTAATTATTATTATTTTGTTTTGTATACAGAGACTTATCGTATAATGGATTATCAGGAAACTTTCCTTCATGGGTGACACAAGGTTTACAACTGTATGTATGAAGAAGTTGAAAAATGTTCTCTTTTCCACTCACTTCTGCATTGTTAAGTTGAAAATTCTCCATCTGAAACCATAGTGGTTTGTTCATTATACTTATAAAAAAAGGTTTGTTCATCATTTACAAGATTTATAGCCTGAATATAGTGGTCTTGGAATACAACATTTTCATCCCAACTGTGCAAGACTTAACTTCCATTGTATTTTCAATATGTTGTTATTCTAAGTGTAAACTATGCTTCTATATAATAGAATCGCTTTTATGAAAAGTTGAAAAGTCCCTCCTATTTCTTATAATACAGTGAGATATTGTATAGTAGAAAGCAGTGATGAACAGCGACTTAAAAAGGTGTGCCTAGGCGCATAGGTGAGGTGCATTTTAGGGTAGGCGCCTTGCCCAGGTCCTAGGCACAGCCCATTCAAAAAGCCCAGGCATGCGCCCTTTAAAAATTTGATGCTTTTTCCTTTTTTTCAGTCTAGCGGCTAGAGCCCCTGGACCCCCGTGCTGCACCCCTCGAGGCCAGCCCAAACAAGCCCATGTTAGGGTGTTAAATTCTTAGTTTTCATACAAAAAATAAAGATTTTATAGTTTTAATCGCTTTTAAGAAGATATTTTATTAGGATGAATGAATGGACAACATTACCAAATAGGGGGTTCTCGAAGCTTCGGTTAGCTTCGCTTGCTCACCGGAGCTTTGAGAATCCCCTTTTTGGTAATGCTGTCCATTCATTCATCCTAATAAAGTATCTTCTTAAAAGCAATTAAAACTATAAAATCATTATTTTTTGTGTGAAAACTAAGAATTTAAGACCGTAACATGAATTCGTTTGGGCTTGCTTCAAGGGGCGTGGCATTAGCTACTTGATGTAATTGAGAAAAAAAGAGATTGTGGGTTTTATATGCTTGAAAATGTTTTATATGTTTGATTTCATTTTTAAATTCTCATTTGAATATGCTGTACATATTATGTTTATATAATTTAATTTTAGATAATAGGTTTTTTAAAACATTTATTTTAAAATTTAAGTTTATATTTTTATTTATATTATGTTTTATAATTTTTTGAATTTTTTTGGCATTTTTTATTTTTTTGACATTTTTTTTGATTTTTTAGCTTTTTTTTTTTTAAATTGTGCACCTTGCCTCAAAAAGGCGCGTGCTTCACCCTGTGCCATGTGCCTTAGGCACAAAATGGCCCTTGCACCTTTTGCTTTTAAAACACTGGTGATGAATGGCAAAATTTTTGTTGTAACTTACATAACAAATAAAAAATTCTTTTAGTTCAAAAAATCATAGTGTTATTTTGTTTATATTAGATCCTTATGTAAACTAAGAAGCTGAACTCGAAGTAGTGAAGAAGAGGATGAACTCCTTAGATGCTGAGAATGTCGAATTGTGTTAGCAGTCGACTAGGCCTTTATTTAAATATAAATGAAGTACAAAGTACAATAAAATTACTGGTATACCCTTGATTAGTAATGGGACAACCAGAATACTTAAAACATAAACAGGATTAGGCCCATTAGCAAAGGCCCAGTTACAAGATAAAATTAACATAAGAATGGGCTAATAGGAGACCCTATCAGCCGAACACACTCTAACATTCTAACACTCCCCCTCAAGCTAAACATGGATATCAATCATGTTCAGCTTGCCAAGTATGTCCTTGAACTTTGTAGTTGCCAGCCCTTTTGTTAATACATCTGCAATCTGCATTTCTGATGGAGTATAAGGCACACGGAGTTCCCTTGAAACAATTCTCTCTCTGACAAAGTGTCGATCAATTTCAATATGTTTTGTCCTATCATATTGCACGGGATTGTTGGCAATGTTGATAGCTGCTTTATTATCACAATACAACTTGAGAGGACCTYCAGTCTTGATACCAAGCTCATTAAGGAGAGTTYTRAGCCATAAGAGTTCAGCAACCCCATGTGCCATAGCTCGGTATTCTGCTTCTGCACTTGATCTAGCCACAACATTCTGCTTCTTACT